AATTTTTGTTCTCGGAAACATAATTGGCTGATTATAAAAATACAAACTTTTCGATTCGTTGATAATAATAGTATAGTATAAATATATTACAAAAGTAAAATTCGTTCAGTAGTTCAAAACCATAGATGTTGCTTAGACATTTTTGATGAGTATATCTATGATAATTATATTAATATAATTCCATACAAACCATTTTCATATAAAATGTTACCAAGATAAGACCATTTGACACGCACTGTCAAAAAGTTATCAGATCTCATGTAGAGTCAAGCTTACACTCAAACTCTACACGCTCTGACATTACAAGGCCTGACTTCACAAACACTAGTCAAATATGTGGTTTGGCCATTTCACTACATTTCACTGTTCATTATTTTTCTCTTATACTATAGTACTTGTAGTAACAAAATGGTTAAGCCACATTTATTTTCAGCATTCAGCTACCTTCAGACAAAAATATAGAACAAGAAACACTGAATAAGGAACGAAAAAAATAAAGGACTGCTCTAGCTGATAATTATCGAGCAATGGACTATAAGCGGCCTTGAGACTACTTGATTAGTAGACTATTCTTGCAAAATTCGTATTCGCTGAAATTTAAAGATACAGTTAAAATTGGGAATACTCCACTCGATGTTGTCGACCATTACGTTTATCTGGGACAGATAGTCAAGTTAGGTAAGTTCAACTTTGACAAAGAGGTTTCCTATTAAGCTCAGATGGGCAGCGTTCGGGAAGTTATGGGTCTCATAAGAAGGCTCAAGGTTGCACAGCGAGAACAGGCAGTGGGCGGGACACAGAGAGGAGAACCGATGACCGTTGGGGCGGAAAGGTTCTCGAATGGCGACCACACACCGGACGATGCTTGATGGGAAGGCTCCCCACCAGGTGGACCAACAATCTGGTGAAGATTGCGGGAAGCCGATGGATGCACGTGGCACAGAACCGATCGATGTCAAGATCCTTGGGGGAGGACCATGCCCAGCAGTGGGAGTCTTACGGCTAAAATGATGATGATGAAATCTCATAGAAGGTAGGCCTGCGCCTGAAGACGTGTATACAAATTTTCATTATGTATTGACTTGCAACTTTATTCGAACAGATCTTACATTTAAAATTATTATATATTTTTGCTAATTATACAGAGGAAACCAAAACAGTTGCAAGAAAATCTTCGTAATGCAAACATTTACGAATGAAACTGCAAAACCACACCTTTCCTTTCGAACGTTCAGCGACTCAGCGAGGGTACCGTTTCGTTATAAACAAATTGATAATAAATTGGTATGTAATTCAACGATGACACGAACTTAGAGGCGAGTCTCCACGTTCGTGATTTAGAAACTACGGCGCCTTACCGCAAACGATTATTTTGTTTATTGCCTTATAAAGGAGGGGTTACCTTAATCGCGATGGCGCTTAAGTTTTCTTTTTACTCTCTTACTCGCTAACGGTTGTTTTCTGTACAGTTGCACAAATAAAGAGTTCTTTCTAAATGGTATGATACTTGTAATTTTCTACAAAATTGTAGCCTCATACAAGCATAGAGAAATAAACGAGAATTGAATATAATTGGTCATTAATGCACGTCTTATTTCTATAGTTATCATAAAAAGAAAATGATAGCTTCAACTTAACTTGAACCCTTCAAGTAGAATTAAGAAACTAGAACGCTGACGCAAACTTTAAAGTTTGAAAATAAAAATTAAATAAAAGAAAATCACTTTCTGTAAGCTTATGTGCATCAAATGTTTGATGGATTGTATGGGAAACCTTGTAACTTGTTACCTTAAAGTATTCGCTTATTTTAAAACTTAAGTTATAATGAATGAATGTATAAGAACAGGGCTGCCCAAGCTTGTAATTATTTATTGGTAACTATTAAAATCTGTAACTTGAAACTTTATCTTCTTAGAAGTGCAACATTGAAAATTCTGACGTCGTCAAATTTACCTATACCGTTGCACATGTTACATTTTAGTATACCTAATTAAAAAATAAAAGTGTATTGGGATCCCCCTTTTGTATGCATAAACATTAATATACAACTTAAAAAATTTACATCCTAGTGTAGTGATCACTAATATGTTAATAAGGTGTTATGCGGCGTGTGTAAGAGAGTAGTAGCGGCGTGAGGGAAAATACGACTACTTGCGTAAATATTCAAGGTTTAAGCGCCCATTTAATTTGAGATAGATGAGTCATTAAGAGTTTATCAATATTTATTTCTTAGGTTTTCACGCACATCACTCATTAAATAAAACAAGTTTCAACGGATGAGATGCTCTGATTATTTATTTATTGACGTTTCGCACCGTTTGTTTTTATTTTTAAAACAGGTAAAAAATACTGTTTACAGACGACGGCGCCTTTAAGAGGCACACCGCCGAACGGACCTCACACCTGGCTTCCGCAAGTCTTACGAACCCCCCAGTGGCTGCCCACCGAGGACTTCGCAACTCTTACGGGCGCTTTACGGCATAATATCCGCTAAAAAAGTCCTGCGAATATCTTCTACACTGCTTAATGCGAAGCCGCGGGGTCCCCGTTAGGGATTCTTCCGCGACTCCGCACCCAGCAGCTTCCCGGCCTAGCCGGGGCTCTACGGCAGGGTGCGGGGGCCCCGCTGACGTGCGCAGGATGGCCCACGCGTGGGGACGTTTCGCACCCTTTGCAGGAATGCGTCTGATTTTATTTAATTATTGAAATGTCAATAAATAAATAAAATCAGTGCATCTTTCCCGTTGAAACTTGTTTTATTTAATGAGTTTATCAATGTCAAATATATAATTGATAGAATTCGAACCTTGCCAATTTATTACAAATCAAATCCACGTTGATGAAAACAATTTTGATATTTATAGCGTTTTTGTAAAAGTGATTTTCGTAGTGTATAATTTTTGGCCTATTGACGTGTTACGGTCATGCACCTCTTCTTAACACTTTTTTTTTGTACGGAAAGAACAGTATTTAAGGTACTACTGTGTGTAAAATCCGTTTGGAGACTTCTAATAGTTGTTCAAACAAAAAATCCCAAGTATGTTTTGTGAAGTAGGTTTTTTGGTTATGGGTGTTTTTGTATGTAGTACAAATTGTTACATAATAGATAAAAAAAACTCTTTATTAGTCACTAAGTGTGAAATCAATTGCCGATTAACAATTTTGGATAATCCAATGGGTCTTTGACCATATCTTTAAGCGCGTTTGCTGTTGATCGCATATGACCTTTAAAGCTTCGTCTTAATAATTTAATTAACACGAATTACGCGACTTTTTAATTGTATCAAGTGATACATATGAGTATAACATAATTTCTTGGCGTTCTGTGATTTGATTTATATGATGCATTTTATTCTCGTTTGCATACATTTTTTTCAGTTATTCGGTGCTCAATATTAATAAGTAAACATGTTTGTAGAACTGTACGTATTATGTGTAGAACATATTAGTAATGAAAAAGTAGCTTTTGTTTGTGTAATAACGTTGAGTGAAAATTTTTAATGTGATAAAGATGTGTATACAATTTAGTGGATAAGTTCACGATAGGAAATTGGGTATTGATGTTAATTTGACCTTATTTCAATATAATGTGATTATTGTTGCGGCATCTACTGCATTGATCATCGCGTGTGTTTAAACATGTGTATTTAACAAACAGCGTGTATTTTAGTGTAAACAGAGAACTTATACATAAGCTTGATATCACTCCATCTATTAGGACTATATTTGATGTTGATTTTTTTTTCATGTGTGTCATTGTATTGTCATTATCACCGCCCGGATTTTAGTTTTTTTTATTTATTTTATTGTCATTGGGTTTTTTTATTGCACCTTTAACTTTTTTCTACCTTTATCTTCGTAATCATCGAAATAGAGCGTGCTTTTTCCATAACGATGTACATCGCAGTTGTAACACCTAGGTACTCCTGATGTTGAAGATGTCTGTTATCACTAACCATCAGGTAAGCCGTCTTCTCCTTTACACCTATATGTACCTAGGTCAATGCCCCTATAATAAATATAATATAAAAACAAATGGATGCGTCTGTAAGTCCAAAGCAATATTTATTTATTTAGTAGAGTTTCATCGAAACTATCAAATAGACCGGCAACAATTCAGTTATCTGAACTTGTATTGGTATTCCCTGACTAGTGCTAGGTGCTAGGCGAATGATTATTGGTTAATCTAGCTTCCAATGTGGGCGGCAGCCATGATTTGCGCACCGACCTCTTACAATGAGATTAACTACCGATTTTGTTGTCTACTACTATTTAATAGACTATTACAAAGTAGGTTACACACATGGGATATAAGTATTAATACTCTTATAGTATAAGGAATGACAAGTTCTTATAATACAAATGAAACGATTGTGTCAGGCTTGAGGATAGATTTGAGACCTAAGTACATACAGTCAGCAACACATCAAATAACATGAAGTATTTATAATAAAGTTTAAATTCAGATCAGTAGCGGAAATTTTACAATTTCAGCTAACTTGAACTGCAGCTGTCTGCACAACGGTTTCCAAATTGAATTATTTTTCTACTTTATTTTGAAATGCATCCATTCATTATTTCTTGATTTGTTATTTTCAAATTTGTTGCACTTTAAATAAAATGCTATCCTAATTGAAATAATAAAATATAGCAGGCTCTTCTTAGCCAAATATTGTACTTTTAATATATATGCATTGGAGCCTGTCACCAATGAAAATTGTTGATTTTGCCGATACAGCTTTGAACTTAAATTTGCGCGACCAGCTTAAACTCACCCTGTTAATTTCTATGCCTTTTCTTCGCGCTCCAACGACGCTACAGTTGACAGTTGCCATTGAGGACTGGCATTCATGGTATTCATGAATGGTATTGGAAGTGAGTTTACTCATCTATACCGCTTCTCTGCGTCACAGAATGCAACCACCTTGAACCCGCCCGGCAGCGCCTTGTTGGACCGCCAGTGCTGCAGCACCATAGATCACATAAATACGGTCACTCACCTCTTCCGCTTCTGCCGACGAACCTCAGGTCGTTGAACTTGGCGACTCTGTTCTTCATGACAGTTGAGTTGTTTCTAAGTTCGGCACAGCAGTTCTCGTCGTTACCGGCCATCACTGTCACTAGCGTGCCGTCCAGGACGTCACTGAGCGCGACCACCTTGAACCCGCCCGGCAGCGTCTTGTTGGACCGCCAGTGCTGCGGCAGCATAGAGCACATGTAGTCCGGACTGCCGGTCGGTACTGTGAAAGATTATTGAGCTAATTAATTTAATCCCAAACAGGGCGCATAGTTCAGCTTATTTTTATAATATCATCTAGAGAGTAATGCCCTTGATGAAATTTAAAGTTTCAATGCCTTTTTTACTCGTCTATTTTGAAGGAAAGAAAGAAAGAAAAACTTTTTTATTAATCCTCAATCACACATTTACAAATAAAAAAAAAAGCTAAGGGCTTACTAGAACCCTGCCTCAGCATTAGCTGATACGACATTGAGTCACACCAGCGCTGTTTTGACACAAAAAAAAACGAACCTATTATAGTAATTCTGAGTTGAATGGATGAGTTGAGTAACACAAATAAAATGACTTATATTTTACTTAAGTGAAATGAGATGATAAAATCTTTGCCGTGCATGAAAGTTAGCAGCTGGCTGATGCTAAGCTCTGTTTCACTCTGGTTGTACGGGCTTTCATGGGAACATTAATATTTTAAAAAGTCTCTCAAATTTTCAAAATGTCTCTCAAAATTCGTGTCTAAAAATTACTTTGAATCTCTCATTTAACCCCCTTTAACATACAACATCTAATCAGCCAATCATAAATTGTTTACAATATCGACCAACACGCAAATCGTGGCCGCTAATTATGTGTCAAACGCCCTCAAATTAAGATGCGGTCAATCCGACCGGCTGGCGGACGCGACGACGATGCCGACGGGCGAAGCCGATCTGTAACTGCGGCCGGTCGAAAAAAACCGCCTCATAACGGTTCGTTGCCATAAAAACATTAGTAGTGTAACTGTGGTTACTCTATTTACGGAAGCTGGGCTTATGTAGGTGCGAGTTATGCAGCCGCAAGCTGCGGGTTAGGAGTGCGGTTGGCGCCGCCACCACCGCAATGCTGTGGGGCACTGAGTTCGAGTCACCCAAAACAATCGACGATTGAAGATTCAACTTTGTACATGGTTTTCGGTGACCACACTTTTGTGTCAGTTTTCCATTTTGGTTTTCTGGTTTTTCTAGTTCTACAAGGTGGATAATAATATACGCTTGCGACGCCAGAAATATCGCTCGCACGATGCATATAGGCAACTTCGTCATCATCATCATCAATCTTAGAAATTAGTTCTCTAAGGGCCTGTTTCACAATTGCTGAGTAAAGTTCTCAATATGCTACTTAGAACTTATCTGCTCAGTAAACAAATACGGATGTTGACTTTAACGTTGACAAGGCACTTTCGCTTGCTTTTAAACGCTTTTCAAAAACAAAACAAGAACCCAATCATTTCTGAGCATTTATTAGCTTACCAAAAACTTAACTTAGCGTTGTGAGTGGTATTCAAAGATCTCAGGTTCGAATTCCGGTGGGGTTAATGTACGTGTATGTCTACTTTCTAGTAGTAATATTTACTAAGTATGGTTATCTAAACATACATAAATATATATTATTTAGGTATCAGTAATTATATATATTCTATCCGTTACCCTAGTATTCCATAAAACAAGCCTTACTTTGGGGGCTACGCTTGATCAATGATGAGTGTTAGAAATATTTATTATTGGAATGGAAGGAAGTTCCTTTTCGCATGGTGTGGACTTGGCGGATGGAGGCAAGGCGAAAAAAAGTGTAACATTTACCATCACAACAGTCACTTGTTTCGTAATTTGTTCTTTTGCTTTTAACTTCGTACCCCATGCACCAACCGAGTGTTTCACAACACTCATGTATGCATTTTTATTATTATATTATTATTGTGATATTTCTGGTATCGAAGACGTTCGTTTGGTGCTCGTTTACCATCAGGCGGAATGTGAACTTTTTAACGTTCTAATAAAATTTATATAAAAAAAATAAGAATAATATATTAGCTTTATCACAGCGGTGTGTGTGGGTGATTCATTACACGTGTGTTTGTTTTATAGCCATTCTTGTTAAACATAAAAGGACGGTACCTGTTCCATTCTAAAACTAGTAAAATTCTTAGAGTCTTTATCACAGCCGCGCCTAATATAGCCCTCTTCCATCTACTTCGACAGTTCAATTTTAATTATGACATAATTATTCAACAAAGATTTTCTTATGAACAACTCTATTAATTAGATTTTAGTTAATGAAAATTTGGTTTTCCATTATGTACAGGTTTATTTTTATCTTTATTGTTTTAAATTAGTTGTAGATTTCCCGAAAATCGCGATAAACCGTTTTGCCCCCTTGAAAGGTCCCCCTTAAGGATGTAGACACACTTCCCGAATCTCAAATTGCTCGTAATTTATTTATACTCTTTTTTTAATGTGTTCTCTTCATTTTGGTATGGGTTTCATCGTGTTCCGAAATTGTTTGCTCTCAAAAATTATCGGACCTGGGCCATATCGGAAGGTTCGGTTTTTTGCAGACTTTTTGAAGTTTTTATAAATCTATTTAATAATTTAAATGTTTGCTGTTACGTTACTGAGTCAACCAATTTTTAGGGTTCCGTGAACTCTTATAGTTCGTCATGTCAGTCTGCCTATCCCCAGTTTTGCTTAGAAACTATGAGCACTGGAGAGCTGTAAGTTTGTGGAGATATGTATATCGGTCACGCCGACAAAATGGTAGAATAAAATTTAGAAAAATATCTTTTTTTAGGGTAGCTCTCCCACAGGTAAATTGGGGATGTTTTTTTTTCTCATCATCTAGCCCATCCAATAGGTCCTTTAAAATAACTTAGGTCTTCGAAAGACTAGTTTTCGATTTAGGGATCCGTTTGCGAAATATTGAACTTTCAGGTGCTAATTTTTGTTCGAGCAGGGCGTCCCTCTCTCCGCTAAAAGTTAAACTATTGGCTTGAAAACCTGGAAAAATTCATGATAGTATTGATTTTTATGAACGGTTAAGATAGAATTGTTAGTTACGTGTAATAATCGTTTAACTTTGGTCAAAGAATATTTCTTACCTATTAAAATTTCTTAGAAGAATATATTAATAGTGTTGCTACGTCATAAACCTTATAAAACGTCATACTAGGATAATTTCACATATGAAACTATCCTAATGTAAAAGCTTGCATTGTAACAAAATCTAAAAAAACTATTTTTAAACCCACAATAAAATATCATTAGTTCCACAACGCTACCGCGAGTACCAACGGCAACGGCTTCTGAGTCGCACTAACGTTACGTTTTAATAAACTTGAAAAGATCCGCTTTAGATGAAGCTTGTAAGACCCTTCTGGCCATAAGCATGAACAACGGGTGTGTTTAGTAAGTAAAACTCTGACACCTTGAGGATTTCACAACCGCTCCCCCGCCTGGGAGCAAACAAAAAATCGGCGGAATTCATAGGTATTTAAAAACAAATTACATGATATCGAATTGATTTTGAGTTTGAGACTTAGTTGGACTTTAATTTAGGTATATTAGTTGATATACATAGATTGATATTAATTGGTTTTTCAAAGGACATGGCTAAGAAACTGCCCTTAACGTGTATAAATATTTCGCACTAGCCCGTAACTTTACAATATTTTATTATTAATTATTACGTGTTTATTATTCTCATACAACTTTCGTGAAATAATCAAATATTTAAAAGTATAAAAATTTACTTCATGCCTGTTTAAAAAGCAAATTGTTCCGTTTTACTAAATAAATCAACAATAAATGAACACAATGTTGCGTTTATCGTTTAGGAGGGTTTGGACCATAACCCACCACGCTGGTCCAGTGCGGGTTGGTGGGTGGTTTCGCCAGGGCCTCGTCTGTTATACAGCAGGACGCACCGCTTGCAGGGGAGGTTGACTTGGGACCCGAAAGATGTTGTGTAGGCCCCCTTGCGTCCCTTAGGCAAAAACAACTTTGAGAGAGAAGCCAATAGAAGAATTCGGTTGGGCTGGGCAGCATTTCGTAGCCTTCGTCAAGTCTTCTCGTCACCCATCCCTCAATGTCTCAAGTCGAAAGTCTTCGATCAGTGCGTCCTCCCAGTTATGACATACGGCGCCGAGACGTGGACACTCACGGCTGGACTGGTCCACCAGTTTAAAGTCGCTCAGAGAGCTATGGAAAGGGCTATGCTCGGAGTATCCCTGAAGGACCGCATCAGAAATGATGTAATCCGACAGAGAACCAGAGTCACCGACATAGCCCACCGAATTAGCAAACTGAAGTGGCAGTGGGCTGGTCACATTAGCCGCAGAACTAACGGCCGATGGAGCCGTAAAGTTCTTGAGTGGAGACCGCGACTCGGTAAACGTAGTGTGGGACGCCCTGAGACAAGATGGGATGATGACATTCGTAGGCTGGCTGGCGTGAGCTGGATGAGAGTGGCAGAAAATCGGGAGCAGTGGCGTGCATTAGGGGAGACCTATGTCCAGCAGTGGACGAGCATGGGTCGATGATGATGATGATGATGAAATGAACACAAACCATTTTTTTGTAAGTATATCGAAATAAACAATATTATTTCTAAACTCCTTCAAAGTATGACATATTTGGCCCTAATTTTAATTATAATAAATCGCTGAAGACCTTAAATAATAGATTTTATTATTCTGATCAGGCTTGAGACAAGGCTGTATGATAATTAATCCTTTAATTTTTGCAAATGGACAAAATAAAACTTCATAGATTTCTTGTCAGGCCGACGATAACAAATTAATTGTATTTATTTTTGCTTTAAAAAAACTTTTTGTTAAGAGTTAATCAGAGAAATGGGAAGAATAATTTCTAAGAAAATGCGTAATGATGACTCTGTTACATCTTTTATCAACTGTAGTAAGGTAATGACATAGTTCTCATAATTTTCAAGATTGTGACTTTATTAAAAGTTCCCTAGTCTTTTTTCATAGAAATTGTGAATATTCAGCCATTTACCATTAAATATTACTAAGTACAGTATTTATACATTGTCAGGGCAGTCGCCCATACAAAACTTTACCATGTCTTTTCCGGTATAGAAAATAAAGACTCCTGCTCAAATATATTGTGGTAACTACAGGCAACTACGGAACGCTACACCGTGCGTGGCACGACACGCACGTGGCCGGTT